AGCAGTCCTGCAGAGACAGCCCCTCCGAGTTTGTTTCTCAGCACGAGAGCCATCCCTGCTGTGATTCATTTCCCAGGAATAACAATGCCATTGTAAATTATCCGGGGAGTGACGTGCCCTGCCTGCCACGTGATCTGCCGCTGGTGGGGAGGGTGCCGAAGTCATTTGGGTCTTGTTTCCCATTTAGCATTGCCACGGCTGCCTACCCAGCAGACCTGCCTCCAAGAGCCAGAGGGATGGTGGTAGTTACGGGGCAGAACAAAGTGAGTGGAAACCCGGATGATGCCATGTCGAGCTCGGATGCAGAGGATGATTTCCAAGAGCCAGCCACTCCTACTGCAACCCAGGCAGGACAAGCACTACCTCTGCTGCCTCAGCAGGTAAGAGCTCTCTGGTACTGTACTGATAAGGGCCAGTTACTGCGGCACGTACTGCTCAGTTGCCAAAGAATTTGGGATTTCTTTGTTGGAGGATTTACGGGTATCAAGTTCAGTTTCCATTAGTAGCTAAATGACAGTGTTACTCATGTTTTATGTCCCATCCATGTTTGGACTTGACAAATACAACTTTTATTCTGATACCAAAGCATCTTAAGGTGTGATATTAAGATTTCAGGCCTCCTGTAAACCTAAATAAGAGAGTCACTGGGGTTTTTTTTCAGTGTATGGTACAAAAGAGTATAATGTAGTATAGTAAAGGAAACAGTTGAGTAGCAAATGAGTGCAAGTCTCAAGGTTGGCCTGAGATTTTGCATGGGGTGTTCGTGTAATGTTGGGGTGGGTGTTTTGTTTCCCTAAAAGAGCCAAGAGGAGGCATACATGCTTTTAATGAATATCTGGTATTAAAGCTGAGTGATTACTGCTACTTCAGATTTCCAACTAACATTAAAATATCCCTGGTTACATCAAGAAGTCAGCCAAATGATTCAAGTTCTTAATCCCTGAACCTCACTGCTTTGTGTTAACCGGCTGGGAAAGACGCATATGTCAGACCAAGTTATGTCACGTTGGCAAAGACTGCATGCTGTGTCTTCTAGAAGTTGTAACCCTTTTGGCCTGAACATGTCTGGCAAGCATTAGGGTCTCATTTGTGATGATGTGGTTGCTTTTGCAGTTTCCAGAAGTTATCCCACTCAACGTAGGAGGCATGTATTTTACAACAAGACTGTCAACACTGAGGCGGTACGAGGACACGATGCTGGCGGCTATGTTCAGTGGAAGACACTATATCCCAACAGATGCTGAAGGCAGATATTTTATTGACAGAGATGGAACCTACTTTGGGTAAGTGTCCCCAGTAGTATAGTTTGAAAGTTCTTAATGAATACAGTTATTTTTGAAGAAATTAAGAAACTCTTTGTTTTGTTCTTAAGGGCGTAAGTTTTACTGTAGGAAAAGAAAAACAAGTTTTGAACTTGTACATTGTCTCCTCTAGATTATCTCCTTTCAAGGTATCAAGCTGTTTTGATATTTTAAAAAAGAATATATTTGGCATTGCTTTTCATAGGAAGCTCTTTTGTACAGTACTGGTTTTTAATTGATATTACAGTATCTGTGATAAAGAGGGAATGGAAGGAATGCATCTAGGTTCTTAACTAGTTGAAAGTATGATGTTTTCAGTGTTTAAATAGGATATAACGTAGCTGGTAAAAAAGCACAAGCCTCAGATATTGTTTTTGCTGATAATGCCGTATTCCTTCACCTTCAGCATTCCTTCCTGTGTGTTTAGCTGTTGTTTTGTTTTTAATTAAACTAACCATGATCATACTAATACTCTGGATTGGTGTGAGATTGCTATCAAAGGCAAGCAGCGTTCATGAGTTAACATTCATGGGTTACGGTCTTTGCCCAAAGCACACTTCGCAGTTTAATTTGCATTTCTTCCTTCTCCTTCATAGACATTTCCTTAATCTCTTCATCAGAGAAGGATTGAATTAGTTTCAAAGCACATCTGGATTGTGCTGTTACCTGGGACAGAAATAGATTAAGCCACTATATTTATTAGAAAATAATTACTTCTTTACATTTGGCAACTTGGAGGTGCCTGGCGCTTTGGCAAATCACTTCATTTGTCATGTTGTCAATCTGAATTGAAAACATATCTGGAACAGAAAGCCAAGTCAGCATGTGCTGTGTTTGTTGACATG